TCTATAAACATGTTTTTTTCCCCCAATTTTGAGGCTGCTTAACTCCATAGCAACTCTAGGCAGCTTTCAGATAAAACATTAAAAACAAAGTATAGTAAGAAAAAGAAGACAGCATTTTAAAAAACACTTGGGAGAACAAACAGATTTCTAGCAGTCTGTGGAAAGTCAAAATGGTGGGAATAGTACTAGAATCTACTACAATACTGTTTTCTGCAACAACCAGCTTTCTGTTCTTTCTTTGGAGACAAGTCTGGGGAAAACCTCTAATGAAATATCAGCCACAGAAAGCAGAATAAGCTACCTGTGGGGGGAGGGGAGGAAGAGAGTCTTTACCTAGTACTGAAGACCCACATCCATATTTGTTCCTGGGTGAAAGTCATACCAGATATTCTGGGATGAAATGCTATTGCCCCTAAATACATCAGATTAAAGTTTTACATGGAGCCATCATTGTTTACATATTTTACTATTGGGGTCCCTTTTTAGTCATGTTAAAGCAGACTATTGACACTCGTGGTGTTGGATGATAGTTATGATGATTCTTAAACTTTGACCATGCCATCAGGGATAAAAGGGTTCAGAAATGATATCCCAAGCAACAACAAAATATATAATCAAGCTGCATAATCTATTTGAATGTTTTGTTACTTTGCAACCATAGATAAATTATTGTATACATGTTGATCTTTTTCCTGTTATCCTTTAACATTATATATGCCTCAGTTTTTAAATCATATTTTATGAATTTACCAATAAATACAAAATTGTCTCTTTTAGGTGTCAAAAAGAATTTGAAAATAGAGATGGAGCTGCCAAAGGTGATGATGCTGTGAGGAAAAGATTTCATGCATTTGTGCTGTTTTTGGCTGAACTTTATCTAAATCTAGAGGTAAAAAAAATATTTCTTTCTGGTTGAATTGTTTCTTACAATCTATAATTCTGGCTAGACATTTTGTAAGGAAAATGGCTGAAGAATTCATCTGTAGAGCATTGTAACTTATTGAAAATAGGAAAACTCTGAACAAATTTAAAACTTTATTAGAGTATTTCTTATAGTTTAATTTTGTTTTTAATTGTCATATGCTTGCATCCTTATAAAAAAAAAACACCAGGTGTTCCTGTACTAATTTGCAAATTATTATTTTAAATGAACAATTGAATAAAGTGCAGAGAGTTAAATTGAAGAGAAGAGAAGCACAAAAATACCACCGACTGATACACTGTCTATAATTGTATGGAATGATTATGTTTTTATGTTTTGTTTTGTTTGTGTTTTTGAAAATAAAAAAAAATTACCAAAAAAAAAAATAAAGTGCAGAAAGCATATTTTCCATTATGTTTCCAGAAATAAATTGTATTTATGGAGATTTTTATTATTTACGTAACAGTTCAGAAGAGGAGCCAGAGATGTTGTTATAAAAATGAAGTGGTAGCATGTTTGTACATATTGTCCTGATCATTTTATTGCTAGAATGATACCTTTCAATACAACAGTCATGAATCAAACTTTTCTCCTTCACTAGAATCAATTGCAACATGCTACTGTAGTATTTTTATATCCTCTTAGGTATAAAATTGTGAGTTCTCTCATTCAATTAAATCTAACAGGTAGTTAAATTTTATTTGTTTATTAAATTTATATGGTGCCGATTTCACTATTGAGAGTGATTCTTAATAAATAAAAGATTTTGCTGGGTTACAAACGGCAGCTAAAAAATTTTGAACTGAGAAAAATAGCCTTCTTGAGGTAAAGCATTCTATTGTATAATCAGCTATTCAATTAATATAGAAAAATACCAAGAACTTGAAATAGTTTTTAATTTCCATATTGATTTTATAAACTTTCATGCAGATGTTATTTTTACATATTTATAGGTAAAAGGAAATAAAGGTCAAGTAACTCGAGCTGACATTCTTCAAACTGGACTTCATGAGCTATTAAATACACTTTTTTCAAATCCTCTGGACAGCAATTTAATTTGTGCAGTAAAACTATTGAAAGTAAGACATTTTTATTCTGAGATTTTTTTAAAAAAAACAGTTGTGTTAATTATTAATAGAGCCTCTTTGGGTGTTGATTAATATTAATATTAGTATAAATACTGTGGTGTGATTAAGTGTTCTTTTTACCTGGGGGAAGTACATTCAGCTCTCCTGGCAAAAATGGGAGGTTGAATATTACATGTAGTCCATGGATAACCTGTCCTATTACTGGATATCCTAGCATTCAATATGCTGATGATAATCCAGCTACATCTCTACCCATGGCTGTCCAAGCGAAGCTGCCAGAATTCTGTTCCCGTATCTGGATGTGGAAGAATAGGCTTCAGCCAACCCTTCCAAATATTAATGGCTGTAGGCATAATGACTAGAAGGAATAACCTTGAGGAACAGGAGAATCACAACCAAGACAACACTTAGAAGACAAAAAAAAACCCAAGCCCAAGAGAGAAATGTAATTGAACCAAGTGTTTTAGACAGGATTTTACATAGTTCTCCTGAAGTATTCAGACTTGGAAGATTCTGTACCTTATAATAAAAGTAGTATTAGCATTCGTAACTTTACTTTCCTAGGTTGATCTACCTTGAAGGGCAGTTAGTAGGTCTTGAGACCCAGAGGTCTAAGAATTTGAGAGTTTACATTTTGGACTCTTGAACTAGGCTCAAGATTCATTGTGCATCTGCTCAGGTCACAACTCCTGCCAGAAGAGTGGTGACAGCTATAGCCATTGAACAACTTTGTCTTCTGTGCCAGTTGCTGGACCAGGGGGCCTTGCTCATACCTTAATCAATTCCCATTTGGGTTACTACAATGGACTGTACATGGGGCTGCCCTTGAAGAACTTCTGGAAGTTTCTCTTGGTCTAGAATGTGGTGGCTCAGGTAGTTAAAGGCTTTTCTGTGGTTATGAATACACCTCTACTTCACAAGCTGCACTGGCTTCTAAAAGGCTTCAAGATTCCGTACATCATCTGTGAAGCCCTACATGATATAGGACATGGTTATAGGCAGGAATACCTACTCTAGGGTTGTCCCAGATGCTCCAGTAAGGCCCATTCTTGCTCCCGACACCGACACCTTTTGGGACTTTAGTGATGTATTTTCGGGGGGGGGGTTACTTTTGAAACAAATTGCCGTAATACCTGGCTGACACTGGCCCGTCAGACCTTTGGAATGTCTGTCAAGACCTGGCTTTTTCCCCCAGCATTTGAGTCCAGATAAGTGGAGCATCAATTGATAGAGTTGCAGTGCAGTTTAATCTGGTTGCCATTTTATTGCTTCGATTGTTTTTTTTTTTAATGTATTGTGCTGCTTGTTGGGGGGGGGTGTTATTTGTTGTTAACTTTTGGTATGAGTTGAGCAGTCATTCGTATTTTATAAATATATAAATAAAAGTAGCTTTGCAAGAAGCTTAGACTGTAGTCGAAGAAAGGTTAGAAAGCATAGTTCTTATTCAATTCTGAATGCAACTCAATTTTTCAAATTAGTTTACTCTGACAAGTGTTCTCAGTCATCGCTTTTATTTGTTTCCCAGTTGACAGGATCTGTCCTTGAAGATGCATGGAAAGAAAAAGGAAATCCTTATATGGATGACATAATACAGAAAATTGAAAATGTTGTCTTAGATGCAAATTGCAGCAGGTAGTAAGAAAATTCAGTGGTTTCTCAGTTATCTTATACTGAACTGTTTATTACATTTCTAATGTAGTAAAAAGAACAGTTAAATTTGTAGCTGTCTTGCTCATTTCCTACAAAAATTATCATTTATTGTAGGAAAAATGGACTGTGAAGTGTGTGTTAAAATATCTGTCATATTTAAATAACACATCTTTCAATAAATGTACACAGTAAAAAATGTTTAGAGGATCCTAGGAAATAGATATGTTTTGCCTTCTTTAAAATCTCCTTGCAATTACTTTGAACAGTGACATAATATTTTGTATGATTTTTTTAAGACTAATACTGTGTACTAGAAGACTGCAATGAACTCACATGGCATTGTACGATATTTTAATTTTTGTAGTTCTGTAATTTTGCAGCATCCTATCTTTGCATCAGAAGGGTGCCACAAAATGACACAGGTTAGATAACTTCTGGATTAATAAGTAAAGCAAATAATAACCTGAGAGTTTCATATATTCCCTAAATAATTCTATATTTTAATTCCATATTCATTCTTTATTCTTTCATTTCTGTGCTTAAGCAGAAAAAGAATCGGGTAGACCAAAATGAACTTTGCAAACTATCCTGTGCTTACGAGCAAAGCCTTCTGTGTTATTCTCTACAGGCTATGATTTTTACTAGCCCTGCATTACACTCTTCATTTTTACTAGCCCTGCATTACACTCTTCAAAGAAACTTCATTTGTCTTTAGTCCTGCAGTGATCATGGTATCCATGATATCCGCTTTGTCTTTCTTATTTGTTGTAAAAAATCAGCATGTCAGCACGATCTATTGCTAACCTAGACCTTGCCTAGATTATTAGGCTACTTCTCGTGTATGAATTAGCACCTGTAATAGATATTAGGGAAAGACCAGAACTGCTTGTCATAACCAGGGTCTCCATACTTGGCAACTTTAAGACTTCTGGACTTCAACTCCCAGAATTCCTCAGCCAGCCATGCATTCTGGGAGTTGAAGTCCAGAAGTCTTAAAATTGCCAAGTTTAGAGCCCCCTGGTCATAACTGTTAGAGTTAAGAAAATGCTTATACAAACATTTACACTTACAGAGACGATGGTACACTTAAAGAGGGATAAGGAAAGAGGCTGGAGTCCTTGAACTCAGCAGAAAGGACAAAATCAACAGAAGTGCTAAATTTAAATAACTCTGTTTAACCAACCTAAATGGTGTAGATTCTTCAAAGCCATGTATCATATTTAATACCTATATTTAATGTATGAGAATACTGATAACAAATATGGTTCTTTGACAATGCGTTAGCATTAAATTTTATTTACATTTTGAGAAGCTATAATAAATTAGGTGTATTCTAATGGTAAACGTAATGATTTTTATTTTCTACTTTTCTGTTACAGAGATGTAAAGCATATGCTATTAAAATTAGTAGAACTGCGGTCAAGTAATTGGGGAAGGGTACATATTGCTTCAACGTACAGGGAAGCAACTCCAGAAAACGATCCTAACTACTTCATGGTAAAGTATACTGGCATTCTTCTTCTGTAGATTATCCCTGAGATAGCTTTACTGAAATAGATATACAAATGTTAAAGCATACAAGATTAAAAAATAGAAACATAAATAAATAAAGCATATTTTAATTCTAGAATGAACCAACATTTTACACATCTGAGGGTGTGCCTTTCACTGCAGCAGATCCAGGTATGTTCTAACTATTTGCTTTGCAAAAAATAGCTAAAGTAGAAGTTAATTAAATTTAAATTTTATAGCTCTCAAAGAAGGCAGTCAAAAATAGATAGAACTTTATTAAAAGTTCCAGAAAATGCTTTCTATCCATTCAGATGAAATTCTAAGCGTCATGCTAATTTCATTGTCTGCAGTCAGATCAGCAGAACATTGAATCCATTGCTGTTTCTGTCATTTGTAGATAAATTATTAACAAAGATAAGTAAAACCTAGAGATATAAAGTTTTGTGACAGATCATTATGGAGAAAATCCATCTATAGGTAATCCTCATTTAGGAACCACAATTGGGACTAGCAGCTTGATTGTTAAACAAAGTAATTACAACCGTTCTTACGATCTTACTTCAATTTTCCTTTCTTAAATCTGAAGATTAGCAGTAGCACTTAGACTTATATACCACTTCACAGTGCTTTATAGCCCTCTCTAAGCAGTTTACAGAGTCAGCCTATTGCCCCCAATAATCTGGGTCCTCATTTTACTGACCTTGGAAGGATGAAAGGCTGAGTCAACCTTGAACCAGTGGGAATTGAACTGCAGCCAGCAGTCAGCAGTGCTTCATTCTAACCACTGCGCCACCAAGGCTTAAGATTGGTTACAAAGTTACTTTTTCCCCACAATCATAACTGCAAAAGGTTGTTAAATAAGAACTATATGTATGGGATTTCTAAGACTACTTGATGACAGTTAATCAATCAATGATTGCTCTCAGTCACCCTTTATTCCATACCCAATCTCTTTTTTCTTTGTGTAACTTTCCATTGCTTAGCACTTAATTGCTTTTGATTCATTGTTTAAAGCACAGAATGTGTCTTTCCACTTTATTGTGCATTGCAGACGTTTACTTTTGTTGGCAGTGAGAATACCATTCTAGAGTACAATATATTGCAAGTTCTTTAATGAGGAGCTATGCTGCTTGAGTGCAAACATTATTTGAAGAAAAGCCAGGGGAAGAGAAAACTCAGGATAAGCATGATGAAGTATAATAAAATGATACATTTAAGCAAATTATTTCAATGTGCTATTAAGAGCTTACCCAAATTATGTTTGCCTATTGGATACATATTTGTAATATCTTTACTAATAGATATAGTAAATAAATAAGATTGGATGTGGTACTTCATAAAATGTTGATATTATAGATTACCAAGAGAAATATCAAGAACTTCTTGATAGGCAAGATTTGTTTCAAGGATATGAAGAAAATGGAACAGGAGCTGAAGACCAGTAAGTTCTTATTTTAGTCTAACTTGTGATGCAGACAGAATCGTTTTAGCTTGATCATTAACATTCCTAAATTGGTCATCACTTTTCAAGAATATTTTTGTCAAAATTTATCATTTTGAAAATACTTTTGTATTTGAACTTTTTATATACAACTGACTACTGCTTTCAGTTTTATTTGCTGATATTCTACTAAATGATAACGTTAATCAATACCTTAGAGATCTACAGAGCTCTTTTTACTAATTGTTGCTTTTGAAAAGAATATTTTCATAATATTTTAGGCCCTACAACAAGAAAGCTACTTTAAGATTATTATTTCTATCTTTCTGTTCAGTTCCTTATCTGATCATTTTCTGTTTTTTGGATCCTTTAAATTCCTGTTTATATTTGAATGTTCAGCGGAGACCTTAGCAGCTGGAATGTAGGTGGTTTCCTGTTGGAAAGAATACTTGTTTTGTACTTAGGAATTTAAATTGACCATTCTTGTTCATAAGTGATGCTAACATTTATAAATGTGAACTTCTTTGCACTTAAGCAATTTAAACTTAGTTTGCAATGAGAGCTTGCCAGAATCATAACATTAATATTTGTATTTATCTTTTTTTGCTTGTTTTTAACATTTGAATGTTGAAAACTGTGTATTTAACATGAATTTTATTGCAGATATTTTGATGATGATGATGATGATGACGAAAAAGATGATGAGATGGATCCAGAAATTGAAGAAGCATTTGAAAAATTTTGCTTAGAATCTGAACGCAAGAGGAAACAATAAGTTTTACATAAATATTATTTGTTTTTTTGAAAAAAATAAAACAACATAGATGGACAATAAGTAAACAAATGGGAAATCCTTTAATCCATATCAAAGGAAATTAAGTTTTTCCAAGTATGCAATTTCCCTCTTGTTAAACAGAATCTGCCAAAAAGAAGCAATTGTAAAGTGAAATTCTTTATCCTGAATAATATGTAAATATTATAGTTTATTTTATGTACAGTTAAATAAGCAGTGTTTTTGCTGTAACAAATTTATTTGGCGCGTCACATTAATCTAAAAGTTCAACTTAGATTAAATTTGTATTTAAAATTCACATTTTTCTGAAGTAAAATCCTTTCAATCGTAATGCATTTTGACTTGCTTTTGGAATGGATTTGTACATTCTTTCCTTTGGATAGCTTGTAGCATTTACCCCACATTTTTAGGCTCATGAAGTTGCCAAATTGTTTACTTAATATTTTACAAATCATGAAAATTGTAACCACCCAAGGACAATTTAGAGCTGTGCACAAAAATTAAATTTTCAAACAGCTACATTGTCAATTGATGTTTTAATTCATCAAAGCTGTCTTCAGCATCATTACTGAGTTTTAAATGTCATATTGGTCATCTTCTGAAGTATGGTTTTAGATTATCAGAAATGTGTCATGTATATTCATTTACCCATTTTCATATTAATACTTCCTGCTTTAGCCCATTGTTTATTGTCAGGCATGTGTTGACAAAACAATGATTAATGCTAATCAGGATTACTTTAAAATATTAGTTAAAAAATCTGGTTCATCAGGTGAAGGATAATGTTGCAAAGCCCCCCAAAATCCATGATTTAGGATGCTTTTTAAATTTTGATCCACAAATAGCAGCCTAGAAATTCTGACACTGACCTTTGCTCATGTTTGCAGAGGATAATTAGATTTTTACACATTGGGACTTAAGATGAGGACTTGCTATTTCAGAGGTTTCAAAATACAATGTCTGAATTCAGCCATTTCTGTTGATTTTCACTTTGAAATTTTAAAGAAGCTATTTTTTTAGTTCAAAGTTCATAATTTGTGTCTTTGAAATGCATACTAAAAAGAAAGCCCTCGTGTCTCTTTTTAGTTTGCATCACATTTAACAAGTAAATTGTTTACAAAGAAATTTGTCTACTGATTATGTCTTCCCTTTAAATCATCTGGTTTTTTCTCTCTAAACTTTTGTCCAGGATACTTTTAACATTTTTATTCACTATTTTATATTACCTAGAATCTTATTTCCTAACACCAAATGTGTTGAACTTCTTGAGCAGTAGGTTAAATAACTTATATAAAGACATAAGTTGTAAATATGTATGTAAATAGTGCTGTTTAATATTGCACTGTTATAACTTGGTACAATTTGTGTCTGTTAAATGAGTTAGTATAAAATTACATCTTCTGGTTGTTTAGCTTTTAGTTAACACCATATTTTGCAAAAAAAATAAACAGTTTGTTGTTGTTGGATACGTTTTATTTGCTTCTTTAGTGCTTTCATTTTCATTAAGAAAGAATATTAAATCTTCCTTGTTTTTTTTCTGTGCTGAGGAATAATATCTTTATAGTTGCTGGCAAAGTCTCATTTAAGACCTGATGACTACATGTACATATCCATATTTTCTTGACAACAGTGTGTGTGTGTGTGTTCCCATTGCCTTCTGGCAGGATGTTTTTTTTTCAATTGCAATCTCCCTGTCTAGCCTAAGGCCCAATGTATATTGCTTGATAGTTTCCTGCTGAAATACTAACTGGATTCAACTCTGTTCGCCCTCTTCAAAATCTTCATCCTCAGGAGATACCATTTTTTAAAAAAATTGAAAGACTTGAGGACCACATGGATCTCTCTCTATATGTGTGCTTTAGTTCCAACAGTACAAAACACTAAATCCTCTGCAAGGAACAGTATTTACACAACATACTTCAATCCCAAACCAGCCACCATCATCTCATCTAGTGTGTGGTGTGAACTGGTTAGTACAGGGGTCAGCAACCTGTGGCTCCGGAGCTGCATGGGCCCTCTGCTGTGGCTCCTTGTCAAGTGATCTCACCACTGGCTGACCCCACCCCTCGCTCTTCCCTCCCAGTCACTCCTAGCCTGGCCTGAGAAGGTAAGGGCGACGGTGGGGAATGGAGAAGCGGCCAGGGCAGAGACGGAGATACAGAGAGAGGGGGAGAGAGAGAGGGAGGGAGGGGGGAGAGATGTCAAAACGATTTTGTGGTTCCCAGTGTTTTTAACAACTGGTTCTCTGCCCTAATGACCAGCTGGGTAGGCGTGGCTAGGGGTGGGTCATTTGACTGGTGGAAGTGAGTGACATCGAGTTGGCCACGCCCACCCAGATTTTGTGGCTCCCAGTGTTTTCTGTGGGAAAAGGGTCCTAATGGCTCTTCGAGTATTTAAGGTTGCAGACCCCTGCGTTAGTATATCAAGGACCATTTAGTTAGTATATTACACAACCCAACAAAGTTAACGATACATCATTCAACGTGTGGTTTGAACTCAGCCATTATGGCTTATCAAGTTTTACAATACAAAAATCACATAACGGAAGACAGAAGAAATAAAGGTTGGGAGGCGGAATCTCAAATGTTTAGAGGGGGAAAGTTTCAGTTGGGGTAGTTTGCTTATGAGAAAGGAAGAACACTGGCTATATCTCACTCACTGTCCATCAGAGACCACAGGAAATGACAGTGACTACTGTAAACAATTGGACCTGTAGAGCAGTGTTTCTCAACCTTGGTAGCTTGAAGATGGGTGGACTTCAACTCCCAGAATCCCCCAGCCAGCGCTGCTGGCTGGGGGATTCTGGGAGTTGAAGTCCACCCATCTTCAAGCTAACCAAGGTTGAGAAACTGCCCCAGCCGGTGCTTCCAAGCATTGCATCCCCTGACAAGCATGGAGGTGCCCTTTGCTTTATTCAAAATGCACAAGCTGATTTCCCGGGGATGCGCAAGGTTCCATACAAAACCATAGTACACCTCCAAACCCTTCAACCTTGGGGGAATAATCCCATAACCTTTCTGATCCAGGAAGGACTAGCAGTGAGAAGCACCTACCTTTCAAAGAAACTGGTAACTCAAGAGAAAGCCGAAGCCGCCGCAAATCCGAAAAAAATCCTCCACTTCTGGGTCCCTCCCAAACTCCGCCTTCCCTAAAGAGGCGCGTTAGTCCGTTTGAATGCCGGCCTCCTCCTCCTCTTTAGCGCCGCCCTTTGAGTCTTTTGGCCCCCGCGCTCTTTGGTTGGTTTCCCGGCTCTTCGTACCCCGAGGAAAGAGGACTTTAGCGGAGTGATTCTGCCCTAAACGAGGTAACGTTGTTTATGACTGGGTTTCCCCGTTTGCACCAGAGGAAGATTAACTAGCGCTGCGTTGCTTCCCGCGGCTGAGTAGACAAGTAGTAGAAGGCTCTCGTCTGGGCGGATTAATGGAGAAGAAATCCTCAGTTTTTAGTTACTTCTCCCTCCTCTGGTGTCGTCCGAACGTGTTGCGCGAGAGGTCCAGGCAAACGAACTTCTTTCTAGCTTGTAAGAGCTAATGTACGATTAGCCTTTTTCCTTGAAAATCTTTGCACCGTTTTATTTTGGGGGGTTCACCACGCCTGGCCTCATGTTTGCCATCTTTTAGCTTTTCTTTTTTTGTAATTGATTTTATGGTTTAACGTCTTTGTTGTAAGCCCCCCCCCCCGCTCAGAGTTGGGTGGCATGTAATTTTAATAAATTATTATTCCCTGATCACAACAATGTGATGTCACAGCTGCTAGCTCTTTATCCACAAGAACTTATTCACAAGAATTTAGGATATCTATTGACGTAGTATATCTGTGAATCCCAGCAATCCATATCCTTTGGCGATTGCCAGATGGAAATCTTGTCAAATGTGCGTATTTTCTAAGTGCCCTCCAAGATCTTTTTGATATGGTACCCAGTGTCCCAATAACCACTGGGACCAAGTTATTATATGGTTCATTGCACAGGCAGGCAAATATTTAGACAGGATTTAGCATTTTATCTACCTATCAAGCTCTTCCCAAGGATTTGAGATAGGCAGATGCTGTTTGATGGTGTTACAGGCATCATTGCAGGATGGAAGCTGTTCCAAGTAAATTAAAAATAGTTTAATTAAGGTGGGTATATCTGCAAATCTAGGCAGGGGTTTATTGAGCATGTGAAATAACTTTTTATTCCCTGGTGATCCAATTTGTATTAGAACAAATTCCGTAGTAGTCAAATTCTGATCAAAATAGTTGTGTGTGTAGATATCCTAGCCATTTACTTTTATTTCCAAATAAATATCTTAGGAAAGCCTTCTGTCTTTTATCCGTCAGTTCAACTGCTGAGGAGCCCCACAAAAGTATAGGCTCTATTTCTGGTGTTGCTCCACAATCTTAATTATAAATGTAGTAAAAATACAGTCAGAGGGGGGGGCTCCTGTTGATATCATGGATACACCCAAGCCTGAACTTCAACTTTTGCATAAATTCAACAATAAGAGGAATGAATGATTTTAGAAAGCAAGAAGAAGAAACACCGCAATGCCTTGAAAGCCATTCTTTTCACCTAATATCATGGTGAAAAGGATATGGAGTCTTTAACTTTTTTAGACTAAGAGCAGCAACAAATAGGTGGAGCCAGATTTTTTTTAAAAAGAATGAATCTAGAATAAAAACTGAAACTGATTTAATATAATAAATTAATCACAATGCATGTTCATATATAGCAGTAACAATCTGACAACTGCTTTGGGGATGTACTCAACCATTTGGGGTCTGTATAGGGCTTGAGATTGCGCTACCTGCTGAGGACTTTTGTAGAGTTCATAGTGCTGAACAAAAGTATAGTACACTTTTGTAGTACACATTTGTACATAGTCCTTGCTTATCTACCACAATTTTTTTCAGCAATTCTATTGCTAAGAGTCAGTTGTGAAGCGAAACATGACATGACTATGCCTGACTTAAGCCATAAATTCATCAGTTTCAGCCACAGTTGTTAACTGAATCACCCACGTTTGTTATGTGGTCATGTGATGTGCAACATCACATGACCACAATTTTCTGCTAGTTTCCCATTGAGTTTGATTATGAGAAGCCATCTGAGAAAGTTGCAAATAGTGATCGCAGAGCACTGCGACTAAATGCAAACCTATTGCAAGGTACCCAAATTGCAATTGCGTGATCAAGGGAATGCTGTGGTGACTTTAAGGATTGGTCATAAATCTCTTTTTTCTACACCATTGTAACTTTTTTAAAAAATTTGATTTATATGCCGCCCTTCTCCGGAGACTCAGGGCGGCTTACAATGCGTTAAGCAATAGCCTTCATACTTTGAACGGTCACTGAGCATATAGTCGGTAAATGAAGGCTACCTGTAACATTACTGATACCATTCCTTATCCACACCTATATGCTAAATAATCAGTTGTGATTCCTTTCACAGATTCACTTTGTAAAAACACTTTATGTGTTTTTAATTGTTGTGATGGGGTCGGAAAGTCTCATGATCCTTTATGAAGATAATTCAGTGGAAGTCCACTATGCAGATGGTTCCAGATTGCTCCTTTCTCCGTGTGGATCAGAGTACTTATTTGAAAAGGCCCTTCCGCCCTCTGCTCACCCAATACAGCCACCGGAAAGAGTTCGTCAGAGGACACCATTTGCTATTAGTCTCTATCGGGTAAGTGAAACCTTCGTTCTCTAAGCAAGAGAAAAAGACCTGGGATAATAGGATTGGAGTAGAAAATCTTTTGCTTAAAGTCTAAAGAAAAGTGCTGAGCAAAAATTTGGCAATTCTGAAAAGTCAGCAAAGAAGGCAAATTCATCACTGACATACCAGCAGACTACGGCTCTATTCAACCCAATTCTTTCTATCATCAATCCCAGTGATCATCATATAAGTGCTACTATAACCAAACATAAACATAACTTTAAAAAAAAAAACATTTGCAAAGAGGGTAGTACAGGTAGTCCTTGACTTACGACCACAATTGAACCCAAAACTTACGTTGTTAAGTGAGATATTTGTTACGTGAGCTTTGCCCCATTTTACGACCTTCCTTGCCACAAGTGTTAAGTGAATCCCTGCAGTTGATAAATTAGTAATCCAGTTGTTAAGTGAATCTGTCTTCCCCGTTGTCTTTGCTTGTCAAAAGGTTGGAAAAGGTGATCATATGACTTTGGGACACAGCAAATGTCATAAGTATGAACCAGTTGCCAAGCATCTGAATTTTGATCACATGACCATGGAGATCCTGCAAAGGTTGTAACTGAAAAATGGTCATAAGTCACTTTTTTTCAGTGACGTTGTAACTTTGAACGGTCACTAAATGAACTGTTGTAAATTGAGGACTACCTGTATGAGGAAGCTTAAAAGATATTCAGTGAAGACAATGTTGAGCCTTCAAAACAATTCAATTAAAGAGTTACACATTTTGAATTCGGGAGAAGGGCGGCATATAAATTACATAAATAAATAAATAAATAAATAAATAAAATAAAAGGGGCAATGGCCAGAATTTTAAACAGTAGCATCCCAAAGTGTAAAATGTTCTTGTAGGTTGTATTGGTCCCAGTTTTAAAATTGTGAGATTTTTTGGATCAAACTTGTGATCATTATACAGTCCTATACATGTCCTAATTCTACGCAGCCCATAAGTGTCTAGCTACATCTGGACTAAGAAAAACTGGACTAAGGGATTCTTTGGGCTGATCCACTTAGATTAGGATTCCTCATGGGAAGAATGGTATTGGTGAACAAATCTCCCTTGATAGCTTGCAACTGTAGCTTTGTGTGGTACAGACCTGGATGCCAGTAAATTACCTGTGCGAAGATAGAGTAGATGGATTTTGCTTACTTTCCATTACAAGTTAAAATCTTCTTTTTCTTCTTTTAAAATCAGAAATTATGCTGGATGACATTTTAAAAGAACTTCTTGTATAGCAATAATTCTAAGGAGTAAGAATTAAGTGATTTTGCCAATATATAAAATCAAATTTTATTTCCTTTTTTTTTTTTTTTAGGAACAACTCTTGCGGGCAATAGATTTCCGAAATCAGTACTCTGAGCGACCCTATTTACCTTCAGACATTATACCTCCAGAAAGGAAAAATGTAAGTTTTGAGTACGTGTTTGGAAACAAACATGGATTCCAATGAAATATTTGATTGGCTAATTTTATGTGTTATCTTATTGGATGAATTGAATTGAATTGAATTGAATTGAACAGAACAGAATAGAATTCTTTATTGGCCAAGTGTGATTGGATACACAAGGAATTTGTCTTTGCTGCATATGCTCTCAGTGTACATAAGGATAATAAAATACATTCATCAAGAATCATAAAGTACAACACTTAACTATAGTCATAGGGACATAAAGTACAACAATTAACTATAGTCATAGGGAACAAATAAGTAAATAGACAATAACATAATTATACTGATTCATTTGGAAGTGCAGATAAAAAAGAAATTAGTACACATCTGTGTTTGCACAATACGCTGTCCTCATGTCATAGTTCATTGCTGATAAATCAGGAAACCCATAATCCCAGATGGATTAAGCGTTTCCATCTTTTGCTCTACAGACGCGCTGCCAATTTCCTCCAATCATGCTTGATGTTTGTGTTGGGATTTGTTTGAAGTTCATTATCCAATAGTGACTTTCCAATTGAGCAAATCAGGCTTGAGTATTGCAATCAGTCACTTTGGGAAATATGCTTTGATTGGGTTTGCTACTAAGTTTTATAGTGTGACGCTTTCCATGTGAGCCCCTGTAGTTCACCACCTCACTTTTTACTGGAGGACTAAGTGGGGCTTGACCTCTATACCAGGTTCTCAGGCTTGTTCAAAACAGGTAATAAAGGAAAATCGTCTCGACTCTAAAAGTTATCCCAGATCTGACAGAGTCACTCACTCTGCTGGACTCTTTACTGCCTTGGTTATACATTTGGTTGTTTGGTTGCAATAGCACTTAGACTTATATACCGCTTCACAGTGCTTTACAGCCCTCTCTAAGTGGTTTACAGAGTCAGCCTATTGCCCCCAACAATCTGGGTCCTCATTTTACAGACCTCGGAAGGATGGAAGACTGAGTCAATATTGAGCCTGGTGAGATTCGATCTGCCAAATTGCAGGCAGACGGCAGGCAG